TTACATAAGTAGTTTTTCTTTCTTTTACATTAATTTAATAATTTTTCTTTCCCACTTAAAGGCAAGAATTCCCAATAATCCTTCATGTTCCATCCTCAATTATGTCTTCGTTTAATGAGTGTCTCCGTTTCACCCCCCACGTTACATAACAAAACACAGAGAGTGTAATCCAGTGCTTTATGGTAAGCGCGTGTCCTACAGACAGCAGCAGCTTCCTCAGGAGCAGAGGAAGAATCAGTGTCACCTGTGTGCACCAGGTACACACGAGACCAGACATTCACTCAGTGCTTCCTGAGAGAATAAAAATCAATAGAAAAGTACGAATGCATATATCAATCCCCTAATAATACCTAACGTTGTACAAAATTGCTAATCATCAGTAAAAATAAGAATATAAAAATAGGTAATATGTATAAAACACCATAAAGTATGTTTTTAAGAAGTGTAGTTTTGTTAAGTGCTGTCAAGTCGGTTCCGACTTATAGCGAACCTGTATAGGATCCTGGTGTGGCACTGTAGGAAAAGCGCTGAACTGCTAACCACAAGGTCAGTGCTTCAAACCCGACTCCACAGCACTGAACAACAAATGTAGCTAGACTCAGGAAAATCTTTATCAAGCCTTGCGTGAAGCTACGAGGACTCCCATTCTGCTTATTCGGCTTAACAAATATTCTCCCATTGCGTATAATTTAATAACATCTGTTTATTTACTCAACAGATAGTGACATGCCGATTACTGCAGCTGCAAACAGATGCTTACCCACACAATTCACCCCATTTTCCAGACTGCCCCCCACAACCTGTTCTTTGGCCCCATGCCCACCAATGTGTGCCAAGTGTGCTTCCCCTCCGTCCCTCCTGACACCATGCAGAAACACACACACACAATTCAGTGTCCATGCAGCTCAGTGGCTGTAACACAGACACCCTGTGCAGCCACCTTTCCAGTCAAGAAACGATAGGGAGACCCATCGCCCACTACTGTCTAGTCCTGGCAGGGTGTAGAAGAGATGTCTCAGTCCTCACTATCACGAACATTCCACCAAGGCTGACACAAAGTGCACAGTGCCAATGAGAGAACAACCTGCTCCTCGAATCCCTCATGTCTAACAACCGGCTGCAGCAAGAGCCTTCCTGAGTCAAGAGAAGATGCACCAGGTAAACGGAGAGCATCCCAAACAGAACTAGCACCTAACCTTTTTGTGGCCACAACTAATTCTCACTACACCCACCAGCCTACTACAGTTGGGTGATGGTGTGATAGCTCAAGATCCAGCGCACGGAGCTAGGCAGCACTTACCTAACCCCTTCGGTGTGATGCCGCTGCTGTCGGCAGGATTGATGGCCCAGTAGTAATATTTCAGTGTGTGCATCAGCTGTAACACTGTCCCCACTCTTCGGATGGTGGTGTAGATGGTAGCCGTCCCAATAAACTCAGCAGACAGATACGTGTACAGGGACAGCTGAACCTAGCAGGGAGCAGCAACAGGAGAGGGTTCACATACCTACAAATGTCTCAAAGGGCTACATTCCAGTGGTCGGCTGTTCTCATTGAACCACTAAGGAGAAAAGGCCGGAAAAGGACCAAACATGATGACATGAGATACAACCTTTGAAGAAAAGTTCTCATCTGTATGTTAAAATGAAAATCTACAATTAACACATTCTAATGAAATTTAATTCAATAAAGGGAATTTAACGGCCATTCATACTGAAACATTTAAAAATGGTTCTGTCGTCATTCAGCTGAAATTAATTTGATGATGCAACTATTAACACAGTCAACTAGACTAAAGCCCTTCAACAGAGCCAATTTCAGCAGCTCTCAGTGTGTACTTTTATATTTTTCACAGCAAAGACTATGTAACAGAAGCATGACTTTTTAACATCCACCAACTACAAAAAATATGGGGAAAATATGTGTTAACATAAACTGTAGAAATTCATGCAATTTCTAGTTTTCTTAAACCTCCAATCTGAAGCTGTGATCACCGAGATGACAGCTCGTCTCTGAGAGGTGCCTGATTTCAGGACAGAGTTTAGTCCAACTCTTAACAGGATTAGTCATAATAAAACCAGAAACTAAGTATTATTTACACAGTTTGTGGGAAAACTAAACACTGCAACTCAAACCCCTGATAAATGTCCCTCACTACAACTTCCAAGAGGACACTGTAGACACTCAGTTATACAGAATAACCAGAATTTTAGGAGAACTAGAAAAAAATGACTTGATGTATACATTTCCCACAAATCTTACTTATATATCATACATTCTGTGTGCAAAAGAAAAGTGATTTTCAAGTTGCAATGAGCACAGTTAGGTTGAAATGACTGTTGTTGAATGCCATCGACACCTAAGGGCCCTGGACAGACTTTCCAAGGAGCGGATGGTGGGTCTGAATCATAGACCTGGCGGTTCAAACCCACCTTCTGGGCCAGTGCTTTATCCCACAGTGCCACACCAGGACTTGGGATGATTCGTTTCTATTATTTTCTCTTTTGCTACTATTTATTGGTGGGGCACTGTAGGATCAGCACTGAACTTCAAACCCCAAGGCCGTCAGTTATTGGAAACCTTATACCAGGTCAGTATGAGTTGGAGGTGACTCGACGGCACTTGACAAACGAACGGCGTTCCAAATCCCCATCCTTGGAGGACAGCCAGGTCTGCAGAGGGTGGTGTTGGGTGCACCACAAGGAATTTAACTTCAGTTTCATTTTTAATCATTTGGTCTCGAATTCTTTCTTTTCTCCTAGCAAAGAAGACACTGTAGGATAAGCATTGGACTGCTAACCACAAGGTCGGTGGCTCAGGCCCACCAGCTGCTGCTCAGAAAATCTCTGCAGGGTCGCTGTGAAGGGAAGCAATTCACTGGTACTCTACACCCACACCCAGAAGCCCACGCAGTGATGCACTGTGGGAGCATGTTCTGCTTTGCAGGGGCCTCTGCATATTTCAGAGCATCGAATGATCCCGGTTAGAAGTTTACACTGTAGTGTAGTATCGACTATCACCTTTTCACATTTAGCACAAACGAGCATGCTGTTGATAAGGGCCACCGAGACTACTACTCCATACGCATAGCGTACGTAACTCAAATAAGATGGCCCTTATTCTTTTATTTCAAAACATATTCTCTCTCACCTATCACCTAACAATAGTCCTCTTCTAGCCAAACGTAGTAATAAAAGCTGGAATCAGCTACTCGTGACCGAATACGCGACCTAACAAACTGCTTCACACTAACTTTATAAGGTAATGGGAAACCATCTAAAGGTCTTCTTCAAAGCACTTTAGATGCAGAAATCATCATACATCGTATTATATTAAAACAACTTGAATGCAGCTAGCAGACGTACCTTGGCAGGTGTGTGTATCCAGATGGCTGGGTTAAATAAAATATGGTCACAAAGCTGCTTCAACAAAGGGGCTCCATGTGACAAGCCGTCAAGGTATTTGGCAAAGGATAAGAATTGCTCCAGGACAGCTCTGCTGATATGCACTCTTGATGACTGAAGAAATAAAACAGAACTTGAGCCACAAGAATCCAGAATGTACCACAATGTTCCACTGCTGACTCAGAAAGAGGGTCTATGGATTTTTCGCAGGCCATCCCTAAGAGTTTAAATATCAAATATTAAATGGCTATTCTAATCAAATTGTATGATGAAATCTAGAATTTGAAGACATTTCTTTGGATGACTGTTATCTGAATCCTTTTCCAGCACAACTGCAGATTTAAATGTTGTTAAGCCTTCGAGTCAATTCCGACCCATAGCGACCCTGTATAGGATTTCCGAGGAGCAGCTGGTGAGCTTGAACCACCGACCTTCTGGCTCAAACAACTTTGCAGTGTGACGCATTAACCCACAGCGCCACACCACGACTCCTGCAGATTTAAATAACACTAGTTAAACAATGCTACTCTTAGCCTAAGCTACAAGTTATGAGTTAAAGTGGCTCTATGCTAACTACAAGGTCAGTAGTTCAAATCTACCAGTCTCTTCTCAGGAGAAACATGAGGCTTTCTGCTCCTGTAAAGATTTACAGCCCTGGGAACCCTATACAAGGTTGCTATGAGTTGGAACCAAGTCAATGAAACACAACCAGCAACCACCATGCAACTGTGCAGAAAGTGGACAGGGAGAGAGCCCTGGGCACTACAAGGGACAGAGACGTGCTGCCGCTTACACTAGTCCAAACCAAAGTGAAAGCGGGCTGCCCTTCCCTCAGTCATAGGGTGCAGGTGACTCCCCACTGACAAAGAAATGGCAGCAGGTTCATCTAAGTCACCCTTGGTGTCTGAAGGTGCTGATCACACACTCCTCAAAATAGCCGCCTAACTTGCTGTACTCATGTGGCGCTGTGGGTTAATGCACCAGACTGCAAAGCCGTTTAAACTGCAAGGTCAGCGGTTCAAGCTCACCAGCTGCTCCTTGGAAATCCTACACAGGGTCGCTATGGGTCAGAATCGACTCAACGACACTTAACAACAACAACAACAACAACTTGGCTGTAGCTCTGTTATGACCCCTCTCTCTCCCAACAGCACTGAAACACTCAGGTTTCTTGGAAAGGAGGTATCCCACTTGTAGTACATGCTGCCACCTAGTGGTGACCTGAGTAACTGCGTGAGTCTGAAGACATGGGCCTCTCCTCATCAATCAATACTACCACCTGAATCCACTTGGGATACACGTGTCTCACATAATTGTTAGCACGTCACATTGTCTCCCCAAAAATGTTTGTCTTTGATTTTAGAATTTCTTCCATTTCTGAAAACAGATGATATAAGTGAAAATTTCAAAGCAAGAAACAATTTGGTCATGAAAGGGTTCATTAATGACTGAAAGGAGGAATTAAAGAAGGGATCACCTTGGCCTTTTCTCCTTAACTACACCCTCGACAGGGGCTATCTCCCTCCACCACCACCACTATGGGGACATCTCCAGTGTGGAATTTTCATTTTCAGCTGCATCACCAATACAGAACCTATGGCCTGCAGTCCTGCTTTGGCGCTGGGGGTTAATGAGCTAGACTGCAAGGTTGGCGGTTCAAGCTCACCAGCCGTTCCTCAGAAACCCTACACAGGGCCGCTATGGGTTGGAACCTACTCAACGGCACGTAACAACAACAACAAAGGTGTGCAGTGAATAATAGTCATGGCTGCAAATTCACAGTGACCACACAGGGCGGAGAAGGATCCAAAGCCAGGATCTTTAGGGAAGCAGACTGGCTTTTCTTTCTCTTACAGAGTGGCTGCTGGCTGCCAACTATCAACGATTCCATTGTAGCCCAGTACTTAAGCACTGTGCAACCAGGACCCTGAGGAAGCAATACACCCACCCACTGCCTAGCAACCCAGGACAGTGTTTTCCAAACTGTGAATCTTTACAGACAGCCTCGGCTTTACCCCCAGGAGTGTCTGCTGTTGTCGTTAAGTGCCGTTAAGTCAGTTCCAACTCACAACCACCCCAGTATAGGGTTTCCCAGTAGCAGCTGGTGGGTTTGAGCCACTGACCCTGTGATTTGCAGTTCAGTGATGATCCTACAGCACCACATCAGGAATCCAAGGAGTGGCTAGTGGGTTTAAAATACTAACCTTTCAGTTAGCAGCACAACACCTAACAACAGATACTACAAACCAAACCTTAAAAGCTATGCATTCCAATATAGTAGCAGTCAGCCCTGGTGGGACTGTGGGTTAGGCATTGAGCTGCTATCTGCAAGGTTGGTGGTTCAAACCCACCAGCTGCTCCTCAGGAAAAAAATAAGGTTGCTTCGTTCTGTAAACACCATCTCAGAAACCATACAGAAATTTCAAAAACACCATAAAGAGACGTTATGAGTCGGAATCCACTCGACAGATAGTGGATTGCCCATCTATGGTGTCTGAGGCTTTAAATGTTCCCAGTTCACAGCCAAATGCAATGTAAAATTCAACTATAAATGGAAATACTTCTTAAAATGGATTATATGTTAATATTATATATCAAAGAATTTGTGGGAAATGGAAGTAAAATATAATAAAATTTTTACAACTTTTCAGTCTGCAGGAGGGGGCTTCGAAAAGTTAGTGGGAAAATGGAAATAACAGATAATGAAATTATTCCACGAATTTGTGAAGCCTCCTCGTACATACTGAAGTGTTCTATTTACCAGATTTGTTGAAATGACCTAATTTTTCATGTGTACGGTTACGTAAACGAGTTGTTGTTGCTAGGGGCCATGGAGTCATTTCGAGCTCATAGTGACACTACGCACAACAGAATCAAACACTGTTCGGTCCTACATCATCCCACAATTGCTATGTTTGAGTCTACTGTTTCTGTCACTGTGTGTCAATCCATCTCTTTGGGAGTCTTCCTCTTTTCCACTGACCCTCTATTTCATCAAGCATGATGACCTTTTCCAGGGACTGGTCCCTCCTGATTTCATGTCCAAAGTCTGAGAGACGAAGGCACGCCATCTTGGCTTCTAAGGAGCATTCTGGCTGCGCTTCTTCCAACACAGATTGGTTTGTTCTTCTGACAATCCATGGCATTGACAATAGTCTTCTCCAGCACCGTAATTCGAATGCATCAATTATTCAGTGGTCTTCCTTACCCACTATCCAAGTATCAAATGCATATGCGGTGATTGACAATACCATGGCTTGGATCAGGCACACCTTAATCTTCAAACTGTTATCTTTACTCTTGAACACTTGAAAGAGCTCCTTAGCAGCATATTTGCCTAATGCAGAGTGTCCACTGCTTTCGTGACTGTTTCTTCGCTGGTTGTGGACCCTAACAAATTGAAATCTTTGACATACTCAATTTTTCTCTCCATTTATCATGACATTATTCATTGATCCATTTGAGATAATTTTTGCTTTCTTTACGCTGCGGCACAATTTATACTGAAGACTGCCATCTTTAATCTTCATCACTATTTTAAGTTCTCTTCACTTCCAGCAAGCAAGGTTGTACAATCTGCACATTGCAGGTTGTTATTGAATAAGTATGGTGAAAGGATACAATGGGGGTGCATACCTTTCCTGATTTTAAACCTTTCAGTATCCTTTGTTCTGTTCCAACAACTGCCTCTTGGCAGTTTTTCATGAGTACAACTAAGTGTTCCGGAATACCCATTCTTCCCCAATTTTATCCAGTTTATAATCCATACAGTTGGATGCCTCTGCGAAGTCAATAAAGTGGTAACACAATGGGCTCACGTACAACAACCATTGTGAAGATGGTGAACAAGCGTGCAACGTTTCTTTGTGTTGTGCCGACGGTCACTGAGTTAAAACTGACTGGACGGCATCTAACAACAACAACAAACATCTTTCTGGTATTTTCTGTTTTCAGCCAAGATCCATTTGACATCAACAATGATATCCCTAGTTGCACTGTCTCTTCTGAATTTGGCTTGAATTTCTGGCAGCGTGCCATGCCGTCAAAGTACAGCTCCAACCATTCTTGAATTATCTTCAGCAAAATTTCACTTGCATGTCCTAATACTGAGATTGTTCCATGATTTCCACATTCCGTTGAGTCACCTCTCTTTCGAAAGGGCACAAATATGGATCTCTTTCAGTCGGCTGGCCATGTAGCTGTCTTCCCAATTTCTTAACATAAATGAGTGAGTTTTTCCAGCGCTGCATCAGTTGGTTGAATTGCTCCTGGAGCCCTGTTTTCTGATAATGCTGTCAGTGCAGCTTGGACATCTCGCTGCACTACCGTTGGTTCTTGAAATGACTGAACCACCACCTGTTCATTTCAATGGGGTGACTGTCTGTATTCCTTCCACCTTCTTTTGATGCTTTCTGCATCATTCAATATTTTACCCATAGAATCCAAGTGAAACTCGAGGCTTTAGTTTTTTTCATCAGTTCATTCAGCTTGAGAAACTGGTCTTACTTTTGTTTTTTAATAGGTGATTGCATGACTCATTATAAAACTTTGCTTGTCTTCTCAAGCTGCCCTTTTGAGATTTTCTGTTCAGCGCTTTTACCTCATTTCTTCCAGTTATCTTAGCTTATGCTCAAGAACAAGTTGTAGGGTCTCTTCTGACATTCTTTTTGGTCTTTTCCTTCTTTCCTGCCTTTTTAATGACCTCCTTTTGCTTTTTTCCTGTATGATATTCTTGATGTAATCCCACAACTCCTGTGGTCTTTGTTCATTAGGTTCTAATGGCTCAAATCTGTTCTTGAGATGCTCTCAAAATTCAAGAGAGATAGTCTCCTGAACATCACATACGCTGGCTCTTGTGGACTTGTTTTAATTTTCTTCAGCTTCATTCTGAACTTGCATATGAGCAAGTTCCACCACTCATCTGTCAGTGTGTTGTAATGTGGAGGATGGCATGTTGCTGTGCTGCTGGGAGATATGCCACTGGTATTTTAAATACCAGCAGGGTCCCCCATGGTGAGGAGGGTTCCGCTGAGCTTCCAGACGGAGGCAGACTAGCAAGGAGGAGAGGCAGACTACTTCTCAATGTTTAGCCACTGAAAACCTCATGAGTAGCAACAGAACATTGTTAGATATAGCACCAGAAAATGAAAGCATTATAACTAGCAACAGAACATTATCAGAAATACTGACAGAAGATGAGCCCCTCAGGTTGTAAAGACCTCAAAATACAACTTGGGAAGAGCTGTCTTCTCAAAGACAAGTTGATCTTACTGCCGCAAAGCTTTGAAGATCTTTATTTGCTGATGGGGCACAACTCATAATGAAAGAAACCATTGCAGTTATCCATTAATAATCAGATTGTGGAATGTATGAAGTAAGAATGTAGGAAAACTGGAGTCATCAAAATGAGATGGAACACATCAAGATCGATATTCTAGGCAGTAGTGAACTGAAATGGACTGGAGGCCATTTTGAATCAGACAATGCCAGGAACAACAAATTGAAGAGGAATGGTATCAAATTCACTGCCAAAAAGAGCATTTCCACAAGTTTGCGCTGCGGTCCCATAGATGGACAGAATAGATCCGGGGACTCCCTCACCTCCAGCCTCGGACTGCCTCGGACCACCTCTCACAACTTCTTTAGGTGCAGTCTCTTCTCCAGGACCATGTTCTTGAACATGACGTTACCAGGACCAGCTAAACACCATTTTGTTTGTGTGTGTGTGTTGTTGTTGTTATGTGCCGAGTGTGGTTAGCTCCAAATCTTCAACCATGAGCTCTCAGATCCATCAGAATGATTCCGCTGAAGCAGCAGAGGCCAGCGTCAACCGTCTGGTTCATCTGCATCTGCAGACCTCCTACACGTCCCTCTCTATAGGCTTCTATTTCAATCGCAATGATGTGGCTTTGTAAGGTGTGGGTTGGTGAAGGAGAAGCGAAAGGGTGCTAAGCGTCTCTTGAAACTGCAAAACCAGCGTGGTGGTCGCGCCCTCTTCTAGGGCGCACAGAAGCCCTCCCAAGATGAGTGGGGAAGAACCCTGGATGCCATGGAAGCCACCCCAGCCCTGGAGAAGAACCTGAACCAGTCTGTTCTGGACCTGCACGTCATAGGTGCTATCCACACAGACCCCCACCTCTGTGACTTTCTGGAGAACCACTTCCTCGACAAGGTGAAAATTATCAGGAAGATGGGCGACCACTTGACCAACTTTCGTAGGATGGCCAGGCCCCAGGCAGGGCTGGATGACTCGGAAGAGCCTGTGGAACCCCGCACCCTGTGAAGGGCCTTCAGCACCCCCTGCTCCCCTGCTCACCACAGACCTTCGGCCTGAACCCTGCTCTCCAGCCACAGAGGCAGCACACTCAACACCCTGGAGCCCCTCTTCTCCCAAGCCCTGGACCAAATGAAAACAGTAGAGCTTTCTTTTACAGCCCAAAAAAAGCATTTCAAGGTCTCTCTTGAAGTACAATGCTGAGCTTACAAGGAAGACCACTTCATAGCACTATTATTCAAATTTATGCACCAACCACTAAAGCCCTTGATGATGAAACTGAAGAATGCTACCACCTTGTTCCATCTAAAACTGATGTAACATGCAATCAAGACGCACTGATAGTTACTGATGATGGGAATATGAAAGTTGGAAACAAAGCAAATAATCAGTAGTTAGAGAATGTGGCCTTGATGATAGAAACAATGCTAGAGCTCGCATGATAGAATTTTACAAGACCAATGATCAAGAAAACTACATTATTAAAATTAATTCCATCTGCTACTGTTTACTTTTTCTAATTTGGCCAACATTAACTGTGGAGAAACATGAGACTTTCTGCTCCCTTACGCAGGGTCACTATGAATTGAAACCAACTCCACGGCACACCACCACAAATTTAAATTAAAGAGTCCTGGCAGTATAGTGGCTTACGAGTTAGGCTGCTAACTGCAAGCTACCAGTTCAAATCTACCAGCCGCTCTAGGGGAGAAAGATGAGGCTTTCTGCTCCCATAAAGGTTTACAGCCTCGGAAACCCAAGTCTTATACAGAGTCGCCATGAGCATCAATGGGCTCAAGCGCGGCAATAATTGTGAGGTTGGCCCAGGACAGGGCAGTGTTTTATTCTGTTGTGCATAGGACCGCTATGAGTTGGTACCAACTTGATAGCACCTAACAACAACAACAAATGGATAGGAACCGACCCCATGGCTTCCACAACCACCACCACCACCACCAAGCTTAAATTGGGGTCCTGATGTGGCATTGTACAATAAGCACTGGACTGCTAACCAGAAGGTCTAACCAGATACACCTCCTCCAAGAAATAACCTCGGGCCTCAAGCTCATCACAGGGAAATTCAGAGTCATGAATGGAAAAGCTCACAAGAAGCAAGGAGCTAGAACTGTGTGAATTTCAGAGCAAAGACAAGAAAGAGGGGGCTAGCGTGAGGACAGTAAACGGATAAAATTTAAAACACACACTTTTTTTTCCTTGTTCTATTTCCTTTTTTGAGATTTTATTGTGAATTCTGGTGAAAGTTTACAGAGCAAATCCGTTTTCCATTCAACGATTTACAGACAATGTTTCAAGTTGTCACTGACTGCGATCTTCACCACGTAACATCAGCTCTCTCACCTCTCCTCCCGCGGTTTCCGCTTGCTGTCCATTGCTCCTCACCAAACCTTCTTCTCCGTGGGTAAATGCTGCCCTTTTGATCTCAAATGGCACGTGTACCGCCTTAGTGTTACTGTTCCTCCTATAGACCTGTCTCGTGTTTGCTTACAAATTGAGCCAAGGGGGATGAGACTATTTCCAGACCTGAAGGGTGACCAAGGGCCAATCTCAGGATTCCACCTGTCTCTATGCAAACAGGAAGGATGCTCTTTCAACAAACACAAATGTTGAGTCAAGAAAAGCTATCCTGTGTCCTGTTAAGAGTCAGGGACACCAGTCTGCTTCGCCTGCCTTCTCTGGGGTGCTGCCTCCACTGCACACTGTAACTCCTTCACCTCCTGGTAGCACTGAGTCATGCTCAGAAAGGGAGCTCTGGAGGCACTGTGGACAGAGGAGCCGACAAAATCCTATGGAAAAAAACAAACCAGGAGCCCATCCATAGATCACTTACATTCTCAAGGTGCACAAGGCAGATACAGACTATCAGCACAAGGGGGAAGATACAGGACCTATTATACGAGGTTAATAAGTGCATGAAGCAAATGAAGGAGGGATAAGAAATTTAGGAAAGAATGGTTAAGAAAAGGCGTTACTAAAAAGGTAGCATTTCACTGATTTTCAGTAATAAAGCTAGAAATTATTTTGTATCAGACTTGTGTGTTTAATGTATAAATCACCAATGGTGTATGGTGGTGGTTGTGTGCCGAGGAGTCAATTCCGACTCATAGCAGCCCTGTATATGGTTTCCAAGGCTGTAATTTTAAGGGGAGTAGAAAGCCTCAGCTTACTCCCGTAAGGCGGCTAGTAGATTCGAACTGTTGGCCTTGTGGTTAGCAACCCACTACCTAGATAAGCAATAAACCTACAAAACTCAAACCAAGTCATCAAATACAACTTTACAAGAAATTTTATAATTTTATAAGGTCGGTTTGCAGTGGTTCAAACTCATCAGCCACTCCTTGGAAACCAGATACAGGGTTGCTATGAATGAGGATCAACTGGATGACACTTAACAACATCAATTTGCATAAAAAACACAAAATTAACAGTTCATATGTAAAGGAGCTTTAATGCAAAAAATAAAGTATCCTAAATTCTAAGATACTTACGATCTTTTAATCGTAGATACCACCCAAACCCATCTACTTCTGTTGAGTTGATTCTGACTCACAGCAACCCTAGAGAGTAGAACTGCCCCCTACAGTTTCCAAGACTGAAAGTCTCTAAGAAAGCAGACCGTCTCATCTTTCTCCTGGGGAGCAGCTGGTGGGTTTGAACTTCCGACCATGCAGTTAACAGCCCCACACTTAGCCCACTGTTCCACACAGCTGACCACCTGCGCCTGCTATGTTCCAGTGCTCTGCGAGAGTGGGAAAACTCAGATGCTGCTCAGAGGATGTGATAGCTATTAGAACAGTCACCTTCTGGCTCTGCAGAAATCGGGGACAACAGTGAGCACCTCAATTTTGGCAAGTGTCCCACAATCAAAAACCAGAGGCAAACAATATTTCTGTTATTACAAAATAAAGAAGTTGACCTTATACTTGAAAAAATAAAACCGAACAAAAGTGAACCCGTTTAAACTAAATGACATTGTCAATCTCGGTAAGAAACATAGCCTGGGTTTAAGGTGAGCAAAGAACTAGAATAAAAGGTAATAACAGTAATACTTGTAACTTCCTAATCAATTTTCATTTTTATTCAAAACATCTAACACCCAATGTGTATGTAAGTGAGCTTCAAAAAGTTCAGTGAAGATTTCCCTTTTCTTTTTATTCTGTTTTTTATAGACTTTGAAGCCCCTTTACAGTTATGACCAAATACATCCTATCTAAATGTTTGTGAAGTGGCACACAGTACTGGCCTGCTCACAATGAAAGGGAAATCGACAAACCGCGATCGTGGTTCTCAGCTGCTTATCTTCAAAGGCTACATGATAAAGACACCTCCACTCACCACTCACCTTTTCCAGCAAATAGCCAATGACTAAGAAGCCTTTTCCGCCCAACATCTGCTCTTGCATGGCAACGGAGCTTTTCAGCAGTTCCACCAGGAAGGCCAAGAGGGTGGCACTGTGTGGAGAACAGAGTCAGGTCAGCTCAGGATCATCATGGGGGTTGTGAGCAATGGGCCCATCCCATCAACTGAGTGTGCAAAACGGTATCAGCATGCTCAAATGCAATCTCTGCTCTGTTGCTACAAACTACTATAGATTATACAAGATTGTTTTTTTTTCATACAAGCATGAGAAAAATCGTTTCGCCCTTTAAAATTCCCTGTCAGAAACCACAAATTGAACTATCACAGTACAGTTTCTCTGTCTCCCACTAGTAAGACATCAATGTATGCCTATAGACGTATACAAGCGTAACCATAGCCCTGCGGTAATTAACTCTAACCTAAGTCACTTCTCCGTAATAAAAACTAGAGTGGGATATTCTTTTGAACAACATGCCATATTAGGGAATTTTAAAAATGTCCAGAATACTGCTTTGGAGGACTCCTGATGTGGCATTGTAGGATCAGCACTGGACTGCGAACCATAAGGTCTGTGGTTCAAACCCACCAGCCACTCCTCAGAAATCCTATACAGGGTTGCTATGAGTCGGAACCAACTCAACAGCACTTAACAACAATAGGAAAACAAGAGCTCTAACAGTGTAGTGGGTTACAAGTTGGGTTACTAATTGCAAGGTCAGCAGTTTGAATCTACCTGGCGTACCATAGGAGAAACATGAGGCTTTCCACTCCTGCAAAGATTTATAGGCTTGAAAGCCTGTACAGGGTCCTTGCAAGTCGGAACTGACTCCTCAGCGCATAGCCACCACAACCACCACCAATAGGAAAACACGTATTTCTTTCTTGTTTAGCATGATTATAGTTTATAGTCGTAATAAATTGGCTAAAAGACACAGTTTATCAGCAATAACAATAACAGCTATTTAAGGCATTTTATGTTGTTAATTCAGTCAAGTCAGGACAGACCCATATCAATCCTGTATAGCATCCATGGAGGTACTGGTAGATTTGAAGCGCCGATCCATCACTGCCGTTCAAACCAACCGTGTCAGAGCTTATCCTACAGAGTATACTGTACTCTCAATTACAAATTCATAGTCACAAGAAAGGATTAAACCACAAATTTCTAAATATACATCAAATGCAGAAGTCTCATTATTGTAAGAAAATTTAGTTATGAGAAAACCTTGAAAATGATGAAATCCTAAAAACAATCTCAAAATTTCCTACTGTCTCTTCAGTCTTTGCAAAGCTCTTCGGATTGCAATAGAACTGACAAAAAACAAACACTTTCCTTGAAAATAGGTCTACTGACCACAAGATTCAAGTCAGAAAATTTCCCATTACAGGATTTAATAACATTATTATTCATCTAAAAATTGATACCTTGATCATTTCCATTAAAAAATAGTATGCAGAGAGAAAGTACTTCATTATAGGAAATTAAAATTCAATTCTATTAACTGGTCCTACCACTTTAAGGCACAGAAAGTAAACAAAACAAATTATGATCTTGAAAATCAACGACATTCTTTTATTTCATTCTTAAGTCAAAGTTCGAGATCTACAAACCAAGCACAGCTAGCTACCAAGGGACCCCTTGGACTGTTGTTCTGTTTCTGTGACGCAGTCCCCTCACTGCCCAGGAAGTGAGACCGAAGTCACGGCCACTGCACTGATCCTAAGGAGCAGGTGCTCTGCGGGGACTGCTCTGCTGCCCACGTGCTCAGGGACGAGGGCTACAGAGTGCTGTTACTGCATGTCCCAGCCAGTCCATTCCAACTCACACGGGCAGCAGCCTGTGTGCCGAGCAGAACTGCTTCAAATCTACCAGTCATTCCGTGGACACTATACAGGATGGCTACATAGCAATAATTAGAACCACCCACAAAATTGCCAAGGCGGTCACCTTTCAGAAGCAGATCACCAGACCTGTCTTCCTAGGTCCCTCAGGGTGGGTTGAATCCCCAACCTTTTGGCAAGTTCAGTACTTAACCATGTGCGCCACCCAATGAGCCCTTCCTTACACAAGAGCACTGCTGAAATGAGTCAAGAGATGCCTCCTGATGGGCTCCACAGTCCATGAAAGAATGGGGGAAGGATTTTGTCAATCATGTTGCTAGCTCTACAATTACTAGGACATAAAAGGACAATTATTTCCCAGAAGTCTAACGAGCTATACCGTCGAGTTCCACTACAGAGACAGAGATGTCTCTCTGTCTTCGTCCAGATTCTTCACTCAACTGTGCTCTCACATTCACTTCACGTCAACAGGAACTGATACACATTCACTACCAGAAGTCATTTTGATTTCTACCTAAAACTCAATGCAACGTCAGTATCACATCTTTCCAGACAGTCTTTAAAATAAGTTACATTTTATAAGATGGACATCAATAATAAACAGAAGATTATCTTCGAAGATGTACATTTTCAAACAGAATTTAACGAAACTTACCAGACTTAAGTTTTATTCAATTTTCCACCCCCCACAGGGCTCACAATAAAGTTGCAAAATTCTGTGTACTGCCATACAAAATTGCTCTCCATTCTTGCTGATTTCCAACTCCCCTAGGTTGTTGTTAAGTGCCATTGAGTCGGTGCCAACTTATAGAGCCTCTTTATAGAGTTTCAAAGGAGCAGCTGACACGTTGAACTGCCAACCTTTTGATTCGCAGTCCAGTGTTGAACCTACAGCACCGCACAAGAAGTCCACAGACATAAACGCATTCAGTTTGTTCCTATATCTGCTACGTATTATTTCCTGTCTAGAACACATAAGTTCACCTATAGAGGATCTAAACATAGACAACAAAGCAAAAACCACATATCTGTGTCAGCCAGAATTAATACACAACATAGAACACTCTCCTGAAAAGGCTAGCAATTCCACGGATCAAAGGGCTATTTCACCGTACATAGGCAAAGCCGTGTGCTGACTTTTATCTCATGATGTCAAATGCCTCAGCCTTTAGACCACAGCACCCTGTCCACAGCACCCAGGAATGCTTAGGGTATGCACCTAGTCACTTCTGACATAAAACGGCACAGATAACATACACAGGTGCTTTGTTGTTGTTTTGGAAATGTGTTTACTAAAAAAAATAATTATCATCTTCCAACTCTTATCAAACTCCAATTAAGTTAGGAAATAATGTCTGTTTCAAGTTTCATATGAACTTAGGGCTAATCAAGGCAATAGTATGATAGTAGACATTAATATGAAGGGGCTTCCAAAGTGTGTTGTTGTGTTTAAGTGCCATCGCATTGCTTCCGACTCACAACCACCCTGAGTCGGGTTTCCTAGGCTGTCCATCTTTTCGGGAGCAGAGAGTCTCATCTTTCTCCAGCAGAGAACCTGGGGCCTCAACCTGCAGACCTTGTGCTTTAGTGTAGTTAGAATCTCTCTAAAGCTCTCTGCCTATTATTATTAAAGAATACCACCAATGCCACAGTCTATTTAGTAACTATGTATGAATAAAACTAATTTCTATTTCTTATGAAAACGTATGCCATATATGTTTCCTTATAACTTTTGTAATAAAGGTTTTGATGTGATTTTAATATAACTACCCAAGTCCTGGTGTGGTGCCATGGAATAATGTACTGACTACAAGGTTGGTTTCAACTGCAAGGTTGGTGGTTCAAATTCACCAGGGTCACTATGAGTTGGAACCAACTTGACGGCACTTAACAACAACAACAATATCCATTTAAATTCGTCCATTAATAGTGTTTTTAAAAAATAACTAATGTAAATAACTAATGTAATGTGATAGAAAAAGTATTAATATGTATTAATGTTATTAATAATGAGAGGTGTGTTTACCTAAGGATGTAATTACAAAGCACCTAACCTGTAACTGCGATGATTCCACGTGTATATAAAATCCAACTTCACAAAAGGACAGCTCTTAGAAGACACCAGTTGTTCAATATACAAGGGGGTTTTAAAAAATTCATGGAAAAACAGATTTAAAAGATGATGGAAATTTTCCATGAACTTTTTGAAGCTTCCTCATACTTTGTCCTGGAAATAGCAAAGCATTTTTAAACAAATATCTTTTTTAAAAGAATGGAAATTATAAATGTAAAAATGTCAAATTCCCCCACACTTAAAAGGAAGCCTCCCCCACCCTTTTACAGAGTGATTTTATTCTCTTAAGGAATGCTGCAGGCAAAACTATTATAAAAATAATTTCCAAAGTAGATAAAGTTTCATTAAGATTCAAGGTCTCACATTTTGTAGCAAAAGGAGGGGAGTGGTTGATTTTGCAGTCCAGGAGCGGAGGTCCCTGGGACCGTCAAGGGAAAGAGCGGAGAGCGGGACCCTACCCAGAGAAACAGTGATGCCAGAAATGGAGGCAGAGATGACAACGTGGAGAGATGGAGCAGCTGGGGACTTTAGACCCAGAGAGGGAGAGGGGCTGTGTGCTGATGACTGGGGGGCAGGCTTGTAGGGTATATCCTTTGGTTGTTTGATGATGCATAGAGGAGACTGTAATCATGCCAATGAAATGATATACGATAGGATGAATGTTAAGCTAATGTTCTCTCATGTAAACCATCACATATTCCACAATAAAACATTAAAAAAAAAAAAAAAAAGATTCAAGGTCTCGGTGGAAAACAGATTTCACTTTAACAGTTTCATCTCCTAGGGAGCTTAATGCAGTATTAAAATACTTTGGAATCTTGCAAAAGATTCTTCAATTGATATAAAATATCCAACAGCATTATTCCTTTGCTATTTCTTCCACCTCAAAACTCTCTGGATAAGAGAGATGGCAGGAATAACACTCTGAAAGATCTCCCTATCAACGACAAGACTTCGCTTCCTTCATGGTTCACACCACGCTAGCACCGCCGGCAGTGACTATGGATTATAGCTCCTGAAGACCATCTCCAAGGAGGCCTCTTACTCCAGAGACGGGAGAGCAGACACACAAAGTGCCTAAGCTTGCACTTGGACAAAAGTAAGATGTGCAGAAATAGGGAGAATGTATGTGTAACAGCAGAGCAAACTATGGAAAAGAATGAAATTCAATTCATG